TTTCAGATTTTCCACGGATATCTAAGGTACTAATCATCATATTTCAATGAAACTTAGTACTTAGATCCTTTAGGACTATGCAGAGACCTGATTAGTTTTAGGGTGAATAATTGTGCATATTAATTACCTAATTCGCATAATTAATTTTCAGCTTTTCTACTGATATCTAAAGTACTAATCATCACATTTCAATGAATCTAGAACTATGCAGAGACCCAATTAGTTTTCGGTAAATATATATGCATATTAATCACCTAATTTGCATAATTAACCAATTTTAAGCTATCACACTGATATCTGAAGTACTAATTATTCCATTTTAATGAAATTTAGTACAAAGATGCTCTAGGACAATGTACAAAGTTCACTAGTTTGGGGTTAAATTCTGTTTATATTAATTTTCTAATTAGCATAATAATTCATAATGTTTTGGTTCTAATCACATTTCAATAAAACTTTGTACATAGATGGTCTGTTACATTGCGCAGACCTCATTAGTTTTACACTCAAATTTGTTCATATTAATTTTCTGATTTGCATAATTAGTTTTCACTTTTTCTATCAATAAGTACAAGTAATTTTGAATTATATTTAATGTGTCTCCAATACTCTCAGCACATGGAAGTTCTTTCTAAGCTTTCTTTGATTTTATATTTCAAATGACACACAACTGCGAATGCGACCTAACACAATTTAATATACATCCTTTGATGTCACTTAAGCGCTACATTGCTAGAGAGTGTAATTTATTGGAATGCTGCATTAGGTCAGTTAAAGTTGATTTGTGTCATGACTGATCCAATTCATGATGGCTAACTTGCTAACAGCTATTTTGTGTATTTTGCGAACATAGACATCAAAGACTCAGATGTTATATTAATGCAGTCCAAGACGATTAGTTCCAAGTATAGAACTAGTATATGCACTTGTTCATAGAGAAACATACTGTTAACCTTTTCACCACTAGACTTCTCTCGCCCACATTTTTTCGCAACGTTTTCTTTTATTTTTCAATATTTCTGGAAATGAACCCTATTTTTAGAGCCAACAGACAAAATATACAGTTTTTACTCAAAAAATTTTGCTATTTTTGTCCCAATCTTCTGAAGGAAAGTGCATACTCTAAACTAGACTGTTTTGTGAATTTGTGATAAAAATAGAGAACTAGTGTTGAAGAAATTAAATTGTTATTCTGTACCTGAAAAGAGGTGGCTGTGATATTCTCAATGGCTTGATTTCAAAAAATAGAGAGAATGATTTACCTATAATAATAAACACCAGTTAAATTTTACTTTCGTCAATTTTCACAAAATGAAAAACTACTTTTTCCATATTTTTTTCTTCAAAAAGTAGCAAAGAAATTGTGCAAAATGATGCATTCAAATTTTGGCAAAAAAAAAAATGTGTTGTTCAACGAATTTAAGTGCAGAAAAACATATTTTGTTGGTATGCCCTTAATCTATAGTTCATCTGAGGGAGTGTGTGTACACTGCTATAACAATTTTGGTGAAAAGGTTGCTGTATATTATTGTTATCAATTGTCAAGTAAGTATGATTTCAAGAAGTATATTCAAAATGTTTATAGTTGCAAATAGTTAACAATATTGACTTTGTATTTTTAACAGTTCCAGAATTACACCGCATTCCACAGAGTAATTCCAATAACCCTGCAGCAATGTTGCAAAGAGGTGGAATACAAAGAAATACCTCATCATTTGGTGGAGAACAGAGAACAAAGAATTTTCAGCATGGAAATTTCAATAGCACCAATAAGAACAGTAATACTCAGTTAAAAGGAATATTAAAGTGAGTAGTGTGCATTATTTTTTAAAAATAGTCTAATCACAGTTTTCACAGTTTACTTTCATAAGTATACTTTATTATACATGTATTTAAAATGAGATACATATATTTGACGTTTATCTAAGATCCACGTAATGTGAAATATGTGTATGTTAGACAATGTACATGTAACAAAATAATAAAACAATTGTGACACTTGCATTTAAATAATTTCAGCCTTCTTAACTCTGTGATACTTATGTAACAGCACTGCTACATACCATATTTGCGCCATATTCAGATCCTATGTCCCTATTGGTCAGTATGTGGTCACAAGGGGTAATATAGAATTATGATATTTTCTGCACTTTGGGAATAATCCCTTAGGGAGTAAGAGAATTAATAGACACATACTATCGCCCTCATAGACAGCAATATGTGTTCATAAAGTGTATGACACAGATGGATGAGACCACTATGTTAATCGGTGAATGGTCATTTCCAAATTTATGGGAAAAGTGGTTTTTGATGACTACTAAATTATGTTATGGTTTGTTCTTGATAGGAATAGTACACAGGGGAAAATGAACCAAGGAAATGTATGGGAACAAGGGAATACTAATCCTATCAGGCCTACAATAACTAGACAAGGCAATCCAACAACAGTTCCTTATAGAAGACTGATTTCCAGTACTGCAACTGGGTATGGTATGGATAACTCACAGGATATATTATTTGGCAGCGGAAGTAATCAAAAACAAGAGAAAACAATATCCCAGAAAGAAAACAGTAAAGTAAGTTTTGTTGTTGGCTTAATGATATACAGAGGTTGAAATTAAATTTGCATTGAACAGGTTGATGAATAGAAGTACCTGTCCAAGGTAAGACTTATTACACCCTGGTACTTAAAATACAATTTTAATTATTGACTCATCATAATTTCACAACTCATAAGCAATTTTCCAGGTATTAGCAACATAATTGGACTACACATTCTGTACGTTAGTAAAACTTGATATCACCTGTTCACAGGGACAGGCAATTTGTACTTTTACCTGTCTTGGACAGGTTGACATGTCTTAATTTTGAATCCTGACATGAATGGTTTATTAATATTGGCTTGAAAATTGGCACTTCATAGTGGATATACAACTTAAAAATCACCAAATATCACATTTTAAATTTGATTTGTGCATGAAAAGCAAAAAGTGAATTCTTAGTCTAATATTTTTGTGAGGAACGGATCAAGCATTATTCAGTCACTTCATTAATTCATTCACTTTAATTATCTGATTTAAATTTAGTTATCATAGATAGATAGATAGATAGATAGATAGATAGATAGATAGATCCTTTTTGATTCTACGGGTAAATAATAAATCAATAACGACTGGACAGTGAGAAATAAAACCAAGAAAACCCCGCGGGCAGGCCAACACCAAGTGGCACGGACAATGGGGGAATCGAACCCCCCTGCCCTGTGCCATCGGGATAACAGTCATCCGTTTGACACATTTCTCGGTTCAAAATAAAAACGATTAAACGATTACAAGTGATTAGTGGAGGTTACAAACAGGTAAACAAGTGACGAGAGGTGAGTAAAAGACATGTACGACATTGAACAATAAAAATAACAAACGGTTGTACACTCAAATAATTACAATTCTAAAAATACTTAAAA